ATTCAACAGAAAGGGAGGAGGACAGCAAAAGTATTTGAAAGAAAAATCTAACCTCGGAACTTGAATTAGCTTTCTTATTTGCAAAGGGCAGATTCTGAGATCCTTTGTCCAGTTTATGAGTGTCTTCCTTCATGAGTGACCTTGGTAACTTCAGTGAGATAATCCTTGGACAGGGGGACTATTCTTTGGGAAATAAGGGTATCAGAATCTGGTTCTAAGAAAGGCCAGGGCAGACAAAGAGTGGGTGAGGTTCTGTGGCTTGCAGTGAACGGAAGGTCAAACCAGCTGATCACAATGGTCACTTCTGACCTCAAAGTCTATGAATGCAATGCTTATTATTAAAATGAAGGGTTGCTAATAGAAGTCAGAGAACTTTTTACGTTTACCTTGAGTTAACATTTGTGACAGCTTGTGATTCATTGTAGTGGCAGGAAAGGGGCCTGATTCTTAAACCCTTATTCACAATTAATAGCTTCTTACTCTACATGTAGCCCCATTGAAACTAGCGGAACTATATTAGAATAAAGGGCTATTGAATGTATCAGAATGTACAGAAGTTTCCTATCAAGCAAATTGAGGCCATTTTTGATAAGCATTGTCAAGTGAATGCATGTATAAATAAATTATGTCTTTGGCAGGTATTTGGATATATCAATTGTTAGCAACACTATTTAAAATCCATTTGTAAATGTTTAGCAGGAGATGAAGGTAGATCTTCAATGTATGTCAGACAATATTTTTTTGGATTAGGATTCGGGGCAGATTTGCTAATCGTGTGTCGATGGGATAAAAAGGAGAAATGATCGCTAACCATGTTTTCAAAAGTCCTGCTAAATCCTGCCTTTCTCTTGGGACAGAATTGCTAACAGCTGCTGTGCGGGATATGTCAGGGATCATAAGAATATCATACAGACAGATCAGTAGTCTACCTCTAATCTGGATTCCTTTCTGTGCAAAATAGTTATTATTGTCTCCATTTTAAGCCCTTTTTCAGTGGAAAAGACAAGCTCTTAAACCAAAGGTTTCCTAGAAATAAATGTCAAGACCGGTAGCTGATTAATGTGGAGGAAGGAGGAGTTTGCATGTGATCCCTTATTTAATATGTTATTTTATGGAGACTATCTCCTTTATATGATATGTAAATCCTAATATTCGTAGTGAAAAATGCAGGGTCTGTTTTCCTTCTTGTTTGTAGATGTTAATATTCCCCTGAGAAGTTTTTAAAGATTTGCTCTGGATCCATAGACTACAAATAACCTTAATCATCGGCAAAGTAGGCAAGATTTACTTTTAATGTGTCCTTAAGAAGGATGCCACTCCTAGCAGCAATAGCACCCTTAATGTCATTCTAAGATGCCATTAGTAAGTAACCTTCAAATTTTCTTTGCTAGGACTTGCATCTGTGACACTGAGTGACTCATGGGGTTTTAACTCCACAGCTCTTACCTATGAGAGTAATGATGAGTCACGTGACTAAAAGTTTGTCCAGTGCTTTGAAACACTGAGGGCTGGTCCACACTAACCCCCCAGCTCGAACTAAGATACTCAACTTCAGCTACGTGAATAACGTAGCCGAAGTCGAAGTACCTTAGTTCGAACTACAAAGTACTTACCGCGGGTCCACACGCGGCAGGCAGGCTCCCCCGTCAACTCCGCGAACTCCTCTCACGGAGCAGGAGTACCGGCGTCGACGGCGAGCACTTCCGGGATCGATTTATTGCGTCTAGACAAGACGCGATAAATCGATCCCAGAAGATCGATTGCTTACCGCCGAACCTGGAGGTAAGTATAGACATACCCTGAAAAACAAGAAAGGAAACAGTGGAACCAACAGGATTTCTGGAAGGTGAAAAGCAATTGTTTTGAAAAGAAATCCTGCTGCTGCTGCTTCTATCTCGAGTAGAATAGCCTTCTCTATTGAGATTTGAGGAATCAGACCTTTAAGGAGCTAGAGAAATAAGGAATGCTTAAAAAAAAGTAAGCCTTGCCACAGAAATTATGTAATGACTAGATACTAATAACTTCACAAATTAGCAAAAAATATTTTAGAAACAAAGAGGACAAACAGTAAAAAAGATTATATTTCAGTAAGTTATATTTAAAGTACATTTCCATTATGAGTATCACTTTCTAATACTTCTTGTACATGGATTAGTTCCTATCTGCACAGTTAAAGAGCATAACATGCACTAAGGGAACTGTCATTCTATTTCCTAGTCTAATCTGCTAGAAGAGTTCAGGGAAAAGGAACTTTGGGTGTTTCGTAGAGGGGAAAGTCTGTAGGGTTTTTGTCTGCCTTTCTCTGCCTACTTGGCTGTTTTTCTCTTGCTTGCACTGCTGTAAATTACAATTCTTACGTTCAAGGAAACATTACAACTATCAGGTTAAAGCCCCCAAAAGTGAGAGCCTCACTCCCACTCTGGCTCCTTTATGCCAGGGAAAAGGACTGGAGCAGTGTAAAGGGGGCTGTAAGCTGGGGAAGGATTTCTGAGGACAGCTGCATGTTGCCCAAGGACTAGGTGACCATATGTCCTGTTTTGGCTAGGACAGTCCCCCTTTTTAAGCCCTGTCCTGGACGTCCTGACTTTTCTGGCAAAAATGGGCATTTGTCCCAGTTGCAAGTTGCTCTGATCAGTTGGCAAGAGCAAATGGAACAAATGCCCAGTTTAGCTAAAAAAGGGAAACATTTGGGGAGGCCAGTGGCGACACGAGGTGCTGGTTGGTGGGTCTTGGGCAGACAGCCCAGGGCTCAGGCAGTCAACCTCAGCCCCAGTCCCAGGCAGCCAGCCCAGGGCGGTGCGGGGCTCGGGTGGTCAGCCCCAGTCCCGAGTAGTGGCTCAGGACAGCCCTGTGTGGGGTACAGGTAGGGCTCAGGATGCCAGGTTGCTTAGGCCAGCCCTGCGCTGTGTCCCAATTTTACTTTGGTAAATATGGTCACCCTACCAAGGACCCCATCAAAAGCCCTGGCGTACATGGTGTCCTCAGTAACAGAAGGTGTGTTTCAGAGCAGGGATGGAGCACATATATGTCACTGCAGAGATTCTGGGCTGTGCTGCCATCCGCAGGGACTGGGGATAGGCTGCGTTCATTAAGACGGCTTCTCAGTGTTGCCTATTACTTCAAGGACAACTTTACCCCCTGGAGCAGCCCATTCAGGATGGTGCAAAGCCATCTGAGCCCTTCCTTGCCTTGTGCTGTGAGTTCTGTGCCATGCCACTTGGAGGCACAGCACCAAATCTCTCACCCCTAGAGTTTTCCATAATGGATCTTCTGTGTATTTTGGGTAAAAGCAGATGAGTTTCCTCTTACCGACTTGTTTTGAAAAAGAACAAAGCAGAATCTTTTACTGAACCAGTTTCAGTTACAAAACTCAATTTTGGGAGCTATAGGTCACCTTTTCTGATGACAGCTCTCCAAGAATAGGAGACTTTCATCAAGGGAATGCAAAATATTTTGGGGGATATAATCAATGGTGTTTTCTGAGCTTTTTTTCATGGAAAATTTTGACAAAAGTGGAAAGAAAAGTTTTCATTTAAATCCTCCAAGGAAAATTTTTCTTTTTTTTCACCGGAAATTCAAAAACCAAAATATTTTGTCTGGAAACTGAAATATCTTGGTTTGATTTGCAAATGCTGCCACAGGGCCTTATGGAAGTTGTAGTCCGGGTGCCTCATGATCCCATTCTACTCTATAGACTGGGCTCCCTAGTGAGACTACAATTCTCACTTATGCACCATAGTCTCCCTACTGAGAAGTGGCAATGCCTCACGGGAGTCCCTGATCATGGTGCATCATAGGAGAGGCAATCCTGTTGAGAAGCACAGCCCATAGAGATGAATGGGGAGAACTGCAGCTCCCAAATCAAAATGTTTCTGGGTTTGGGTGTTTTGGTTTTTCGATGAGAAATTGAAGCCAACATTTTCACACACACAAAAATCCTTTTGTCAAAACCCCCAATTTTCCATCATAAAACAGTTTAGATGGAAAAAATAATTAATTTCTGATAACTAGACATTTAATATATGGTTGAGAGGACAGGACATGCACTTGAAAGGAGAGAGGCTGTTTCTGTTACCCTCGTGATAACATGTGGCCCAATCCTAATACTCTGTCTATTTCCATTCCCCTGCATACACCCGTTATGCGAAGGGCTGCAAGGGTGGTGGTGGTATTGGTCAGGAGAATTCTCAGTTGCCTGAGGAAGGACAAAAGAGCTGTGTCTGGCGTCCAGAACCTGGCCCATAAGGCCAAAGTGTGGTCCACAAACACACAGCTTTTCTCCGCTACTGTATTTCAGGTGCATGAGAGAATGTGGTCTTTATCATAGAAGACTCTAGAGGATTTAACCTGAGAGTTGGCAAGTCATGCATAGAACCATCTCTTATCATTAGAGAATAGAATGAAGATAACCGTTCAGATAGACTGCATGGCAGTGTAATCACAGAACGCGCTTTTCAATGGTCATGACACATGCACCAAATTCTACCAGTCCTAAATAAGTGAATTCCCATCTTCACACTGCCAGTAAGACCATTTAGTTCATATGTTTTTAATTACATTTACAGCATGGGATTGTGTGTGTCTGATTCTGACTAGAAGAGCGTACCATTTCATTATTTTATCTCAACAAAATCTTGGACATTTCCACCTCCCCCCTCCAAATAAATGAGGGGTACATTCCTGAGTAGACTAGAACAGCAGGTGTTGTTCCCACAAACTCATCTGGAGACTGTCAAATCCCTTTGTATGACTGGTGTGAAGAGCTTGCTCTGTAATTTGTGGCTATCTTCATCGGGACTCTTTTGTGTGTAAATAGATGGTCTAAGTTTTCAAATTCTTCTAGCTGTTTGCCCTTCAATTTTCAGAAAGTTACAAGGGATTTTAGCCATAATACTCACATTTAAAATCAATGTTACTTCCCCACCCCTAGAAGCAGTGGTATATTTAATCAGCTGTACATCTTAATGCTGAAGAATTTGTTGTCTTCTTCTTTGATACAGAAATACTGAATGGAGGGGTATACGTTGGCCAGAACAAGTTTCTTTGCTACGCCGACACCATTCATTGGCAGGATATCGTGCGTAACCCACGGGCTTCCAACTTCACTTTGGTTCCAACAAATGGCAGCTCAGGATGTAAGTATTGGTTTTATTTCCAGCCTTGTGGAGAGCACATCATGACATAATATAAATGCAGTCCCAGGTATTCCATGGATCCTGCTTTAGAAGACTGTTAGCAAATTCTCCTTCCTTACTGTCTGTTCTTTAAAAATTCATTGATTCCTTTGGAAAAATGTTTTGTCTAGAGGCGATTCTTTTTACATGTGTATTTTCTGTATTTTTTTCCTTTCCTATTTATTACTAGAGATGCTGGTGTGAAGACAGGATCTGTATTGTTAGGATTTCTTTGCTCCTACTGCTTATTCTCTGCCTTACACCACAATCCCCTGCTTGTAACATCATAATTAGTTGCTGTAGTAATTATGGTACAAACACAGGGTTATTATTACTTTAGATGATAAATGAACTGTTTTCTTGTATAATCCCAGCAATACAAAGGGCACACAGGAAAAAAAGATACAGAGTAACCAAGTGTTTTTAAACAGAATGTTTCCTGCTTTCCCAGACTTCGAGCATATGTAGAATTGTATTAACCAGTTGACATTTCCTCCAGCACTAAGGAATCATTAATATTTTGGGGGAAAGGAGACCTCTTTCTCAGTATCGCTATTATTCCCCCCCACCATGCTATAGTAATAATATGAAACCTAATGTGCAGAGGTGGTAGCGGAACAGTAGTGCTAGGTGCAAATGCTATGTAATGGAGCAAATTACATTCAGAATAGAGTATGATTATGTAACCCAATGTCCCTGGGTGGGCTGTCATCTGCAGGGATTGAACCTGGCACCTCTGGATGTAAATGTATGAGACCTGGGAGAGCCCTGCCACAAGCCACAGTATCAGGGTTTGTTGAAGGTGTCAAGGGGCAGGGTTGGAGCCCATATATTTCTGTAGGGCTATTGGGCAATGAGGACAGGCTACTGTATCTTAGGCAGTCTCCAAGGGCTAGCTAAGTTATACTGATGGCCCTGTTTGCCTCTGCAGCAGCTCCAAACTGGATGGGAGCAAAGGAGGCTTAAAGATAAAACTGCAGAACAAAACTGCACCCTGGGTAAGAATCACAGGATTTGTACCCATATTCATAAAGAAGAATCCATTGTGAACGCATGTACTTGTTCTTCACACCGTAATAGCTTATATAGTGCCAAGAGTGAGATGGCCTTTCCCCGTCTGTCTTCTCTCCCAACCAGAAAAAAGAGAACACGACTGCTTGAAATACAGGGATCAAGTCTCATAGTCAGCTGTGAGCATTCATTTCCTCCAGGAACCTGTCAGATTTCATTGTTCCTGCATCCTCCAACTCAGGAGCTGATCAACAGCTTCTGCCTCCCAGCAGGCACCTTTATTTGTCTCTGATTTATACGGCTACAGTAGTGGCACTTAAAAAGTTCATTCCATTTTGTTAGAGAATTCCCCACTGATCTTCCCCATTTTAAGTATAAGGAATGAAATCAGTATAACCTTTTGAAATAGAAAGAACCTCTTAAGAGTGACCCACTGCAACAAGCAGCAGACTTAATTGCAATTTCTCTCTTGTTTTGATTTTGTTTTCTTTGTCTGGCTTTTGCATTTGTCTTGAAAAATCAACAAAAAACAATGCAGTGAATGAGACATTTAAGGATGGATTTTTCAGTACACCCACTGAGAGTTTTACCATTGACTTCAGTTTAAGCAGAGCTAAGCCAATGCCAAGCTCTTATGGAAATCTCATCCTAAATTAATGTAGCAATCATTATTTCCAACCTCAGGACAAAAGAATGAAAATATATAGGCCTACTGCTTTATGTCTTTAACTTCTGTTTGCTTTACTTTTGAAATTTTAACACAAGAAAGGGCCAATACATGACCATAGGATGCATGTATATTAGTTACAAATGTGATCTAACCAGTGTTGTTTTATTAATGAAATGCATGAGCAATGTTATATAACAGCTTAATAAATACCTCCATGTGGGAACACATTTTAATATATTTTTCTCCATTTCTGACCCATGTAGAGTTAGTTGTATTTTTCAAAAATATAAAATTCCATGTACAATAAATACAGATTCTATCCAAATTAAACACGGGAGTAATATAAATATTAGATGTACCTGGGGAAGCTAAACCACCTCTATCTACACATTGTGCATAGATAGGAAACTAAACCCCACTGTGTTAAAAAAATAGCTAAAATGGGATGACAAAATGTACTGAGACTTTGGAAGACATCAGAGCAAATGACAGCTTTTTAAAACTTGTTGAAATATTATTCAGGTTCCACGTGCGGGCGTCACCCTTTTCAAATAGCTGCAATTAAGTAATTGTATACAAAAAAGCCTTCAAATCAAAGCACTCAAAGAAATGGGAAAACGTTATTACCACCTGTCAAGAGTTAGGGGAAAGTGAATATGTTACCTTGGTGCTTTACAAAAGACTTAATACAAGTTGTTTGTGCTGATACTGAAAGGACTTGGTAAAATGATTTGAACATTTAATACGACCCTCAGAGTGGAAGTCTGTACAGAAGTTCAGAAGATGAGGCATATGTGCCTCACTTTTGATTTAGGGATCACTCTTATCCACTGGTAAAATGGATCCAGACAGACCAACCTGAGCTAGGGGTTATCCCAATCAAACGTATGCTGAGTGTTTCAGAAAGACTTAGATCTTTTTTTTTACATAGATTCTGTGGGTGTATTGTCATTATCTGTTTATGGATACAAGATGATTGTACTGTTTTATGTGAATTTTTCTGAAACTTCAGGTGCCTCCAAATCTTAGAAACTACACAGACCTTTATTAAGTGCATATAGGAAGTTATTAAATAAAGTTAATTAGTTGCGGTGGAAACACGTGAAGTAGATGACCAGATAGAATCCTATCAGAGCACCTGGGGAGAAAGGGGGTGTTCCCTTTACTACCCCGAACTATCTGTTACAGAGCAGGGAAATAGCACACGGGAGAGCCCCCTCATTTACTCTTGCAAGATCACACAGATATGACTACAAAACCTCGTTGTCAATGCTGACTTAGCAGAGGCTGTTGTTAGATTCAATAGAGTCTGTGCAGATGTGTTACCTGTCTCCATTGCTACGAGATCATCAGCTATGGGAGCAGTATTGTCTATAGTGTGCTGGGCTGACATCTAAAACTAGACTGGAGGAACTGAGGACAACCTGCAGTAACATACTTTGACTGGTTACTCCTACATCACCTCCGTACTCTTCCTCCGAGGGGACGTATTAGACACTGGGTGATAATTGGCAAGGCTGTTAGTGCCTAATGTTTGGTCTGGTCTCTGCATATTTAAGGGTTGCAAGCACCCTGTCCACCTATGGTGAGGTGTTATCAAGCCTCCTCAATAATGAACACAAAAGCTCCCCACTGCTCCTCACCAGCCATGACTCTAGCTTGATACAAGGATCTCACAATTGTGAGTTTTGGCCTCCCCACCTACCGTTCTCAAGTCCCTGAATATACCCAAGATCTCCCTGAGCAGAACAGATTGAACTCCAGCAGACAGGGTAATGCATTTATAACCTCCTGACCTGACCCTGCATCCATATGCCCATGTAGCGATCACAGCCACCGTCCACATTCCACGCCTGACTTCCTTGTTCCAGACGCCCAGTGCTGCTCACCACCCCAGGATGTGGACCAGCTAACAAACCCTGAAGCACAATAGTACCACTACAGGGGATAATTTCACTTGGAGCCCTCCCCTGCTGTCCCAAGGCACTCAGTGGAGTAGGATTAAGGAAAGATTGCTGACTGAAATTAAAATGCTCTGAAGTGATACCAGTACCATGCTGTGGAGTTTGTGTCACTGTAGCTGCTCTACTTCAGTTACTCCTGATTTCCATCAGTATTACGACAAAGCTGAGTTTGGCCCATGGGCTCTAGGAATTACTCTCCTTTACTTTCCTTCTCTGCAGCCTGGGCAACGACTCTCATAGTTGTATCAGTGCTAAGAAGCCATCTGCAAAGGTCAAAGCAGCTTAACCTATCTGGTAGCAATAGTGCCAGTAAATTAACACTAAGCGCTGCTGCTACTTTATTTCTTAGGTGCATTCTCATCATATTTTCTCAACACATGCATGCAGAAAAACTCTTATGTGAGGCTTCTGAATTACATGGTTGGTGTTGGTACTGTTCTTAAGAAGAATACAACTCCTAGCTGCCAGCATTCTGCTGACTGTGCATCACTGAAATGTAATAAACGAATACTGCAACAGAGGACCAACCTGCTTCACTGCTCCGGGTCTAAGGATGAGTATCCTTGTCCCATGTTCTGATTTTTCCACTCAAATAATAGTATTTACCATTTTCAGTGATTTTTTTTTCTTCACAATACCTTTTTGTCTGAAACTTTACAAAATTATTACTATTTCAGGCATATTCTTCAATGTTAGCGAACCCTAGGCCAACATTTTTCTGGCCTGGCACTTAAGGATGTGATTTTTCTAAAGTGCCCAATTGACATAGGAGCAGAAGTCAGATATTCTTTCTTTGGCAGCTTCACTATATGGCCCTTTTCCTACTTGTTTGTGTTTTTTCTTCTTCCCATATATCTAAGATGCCTATCAACATTTCTGCTGTGTTCTTCAAGTCTGACTTAAGAACCTCTGTTGGAATTTTAACTGGAACTGGTGCCTTTCCTACTTTTTTTTTTTTACCTAATGAACAGCCCTCTGTACTTCTACTCTGGTTACAGGTCCTAGTTCAATGTCCAGATCTTCTCTTTCCTCTAGCTGGGGGATTGACTACTGGCTCGGCATTCAGTAGTTGATTAAAGTACTGCCTACACATGTTTAATTGTTCTGATGTCTTCATTGTTAAGTAGCACTCATTGTCTTGAACTGGTCAGGTGGTATTTGTTATTCTGCCTGACACCTGCCTAATGATGTTGTACAGAATCTTCATGTTATTTTGTGCTGCAGTAGTCTGTGCATCTGTTACCATTTTGCATATAAAGTCTCATATGTCTTTCCTAGCCCCAGGGAGCCCTAGCTCCATGCATATTTTGCAACGT